AATAGTACTTACAAATTGATTCATCAGATTCTAAGATATAAAGAGGAACTTGCTGAATTTTTTAGTGATGAACTTCGTATAATCATTAATCCTTCTGAATTTGTTATTGTTGAAAAATTGAATGCCGTATTAGAAGTTTTTAATAACGCAACTCTTACTTTTTCTCATGTTTACCAACCAACTACAAATACATTTTTTAAAGAGTGCGTTACAATCGCAACATGTTTTCGTGAAAGTATGGCTGATCCAGAGTTGTACCCTTATGTCGCTCCTATGAGAGATAAATGGTGTGCTTATTATTTGTTCATTCCTGATATTTATAAAATAGGTATTATTTGTGATCCACGCTTTAAGATTGAAAATTTTAAAATTTTAATTGAGTATTACTATAGTTGTTTTTTAGATTAAAATAGTTATTACTACAGTCATTTAATAGAATGGAAAAAAGAAAGAGATAATGCTATAACTTTTTTTGAGAATTTGTTTGAGGAATATCAAGGGTTATACGGCACTGTACAAGAAGAAACAGCACCACCTCCGCCCCCGAAATCAAAAAAAGGTTTTGCCGGAATAGTCGGTGGTCTTCTTGTAAAGAAAGGGAAGCGTGCTCATTCTTCGACGAGTTCAAGTGGTACAACAGTAAGCTCGCACAACGAACTTGCTATGTACCAGGGTGTGCCATGCGATTACGACGACGACGACGTGGATTTTGATGTGCTCGGATGGTGGAAGCGGAACGAACACATGTTCCCATGTCTCGGCATGCTAGCAAGACAAGTGTTATCCGTTCCGGTATCGACCGTAGCAGTTGAACGAGAATTCAGTGCTGGCGGCAACATTCTAACCGACTTTCGAAGTTGTCTTAGCGCTGAATCTCTTGAAACACTAGTTTGCAACCAAGATTGGCTCTTGGCAAGACGTCGAGCTCAAGAGTCATCGTACCTACACGAATCGGAGCATTACATGAATGCAACGACAGATGGAAGTCCGAGTTCTCAAGAATAAGTTATAATTTTTTTATGTTAATGTAGATATGTAATTAGTTTTTTAGGTGAGCGATATATAATCTCCTTCGAGGGTTTCTTTACGGTTCTTTACCTCGTCGGTTTTTTTGAACCGTCAGGATATTAAATGTGGTTGTTCTTCAGTTAGTGTATTATTCATTTAAAATATTTAAATAACAACTAAATTTTTAGATTTTTTATTTCATTCTTTCCTTAAAGAAATGCAAATTTAAAATTTTATACTTTAAAAATTTTAAAAAAAAGCAAAAAAAAAAAAAAAGAAAGGAGGGGGGGCGAAACCGGCCGGTCCGGTACCGGAACCGCCGGTCCGGGAACCGGAACCGGTACCGGCCGGCACGGTGACGGTTCCGGTGACATGGGGTGGCGGTACCGGAACCGGCAGTTCCGAAACCGGAACCGGCCCGGAACCGTACCGTGTCCACCCCTAGTTAGGATCATTATACACGCAGAGTTTACACTATTTGTCTATTAAATTTTGAGCGCATTTAAATATTAGTTAGGTCTAAAATATGTAACTTATCCATAAATTAGGTGATGTCTTTTGTGATAAATCAAAAGTTGAATGAATACATGCATATATTATGTATACAGCCATTTTTAAATGAAAAATACTTGGAGAATCCTATTGGTGTATATTAAGTGTACACCAAGACAAAATCAGACACACACAGACACTCAATCGTTGTCCGTACTTAATGTTCGAAGCATAAATTCTTATTTACATTACCTTTTCAACTGTCTGACTTTAGTCTTCAAGACTATCCCAAAAATCATCAAGAGTAGTTATTTCAACAACATCACAATACTTGGCTAGAATTAATTCTTTGATCACTCACCATTTGTCCAACACTAAAAATACGAGTAAGGTGCTTAGTTGGTGAGCCTTGCTGCTTTGTCACGTGAACCTTGAAAAGAGCCCTTGACAAATTATTCCATCCAACTCTTGGGGTATAGTATCTGGATCATTTTTCATCTACACAATTCGAAGATAAAAAACATTATTATGATAATGTTTATAGATATTTTCCAATGATTGTAAAGAGACAGTGTGCGACTTTAGCTTTACTTCAATCATAGCCTCCCTAAGCAAGAATGCACTCACACCCAACAACTGTGTGCATTCTTTATCGAATAGTACAAATGAAGCATGCCTAGTCCCACTTTCATCAACAACACGAACTATCACCTTGTACCTGCATTTTCGCAAATAGTTAATTATCCATAATCACAACTCGAAGTATAAACATAAAAAATAATAACAAAATTTCATTCGTTTACTTGTACACGCCATGTAGTATGATCTTATTACACCCACCACACTTAAACCTAGCATCCCCAGGATAAACTTTCTTGTTACACTCTGTGCATCCGAGATAGGACCAAGACTGCATTGGCTCAAGTGAATCTATCTCACCCTTAATCCAATAAGCTCCTTCCTATTTATCAGTCATAAAAATAGTCAAGTTTAAGGTTTGTGAAGTGTAAATTGGAACATATAAAAGAATCAATATTTAGATGATGAAAGTATGTTTACCACCGTCTCATAAAGCAATGACTTGATACTTGTGATTGTCAGTGTACAACACTCCACATCCTCCACTCCACTCAAAATAGTGGGTGTAAAAGTGCTAGCATCTCTTTGATCTGAAGCCTAAAAAAATGGAACTATTATTAGATTTTTTATAACCTTGGTTTCATAATTGATGTTCTATTTACTTAATTTGCCTTGAAGTCGACCACTTCATTCGAAATTCCATTAAAAACAATTTTCGTGACGTCATACACGGTAGAAAGACTAACCACGCCTGCATATAATGTAAGAAGTCATAAATCACAAGGGGTTTATGAATTCCATTAAATGAACAAATAGAATGGGTGGCTGACCATTGAATCTCTTAGCCCTGCAGAGAATAAGGCACCATCCAGCAAAGGATAAGGCACGCCAAGATTCACATAATCGTTGAATTGATCAACATACTTTCCCTACAATGTGCAATTTAAATGTTTGCCTCTGCGTTGGTTGTAAAAATTACATTTCAAAGAATACTTATTAGATAAAAAAAATATAGAATTAGTAACGTACTCGTGATATTCCAAAGATATCTCCATGAGTTTGTGCTCTTTTCATGGAGTGATGTATGTCTGCACAATCAAACGCCCAACGACCTTTCCAATTACATCATAAAAAGATATAATTAGGGTTTATTTCATTACAATAAATTATATGCACATTTCACACAAATCACCATACCTATCAACAAAGCATCTTTTAAGACTGATTGCTCACGAACACTATCAAAAGAACGTAACTCATACATAAGATGAGGAAAGCCTTGCAAGCTCATGGTCTTCATAGCAGTTTCGCTAAAGAAAGCCAACAAAAAACGATGTGGTGTTGTCTTGTAGGTTTAATAGTTATCATGGATCAATAGATTTTTTATTGTTGGGTTTTGTGGAGGCTAGATATGTTTGCGCCCGACTTGGATCGGCCCATCTTATTTTTACGCCCGGCCCATGTTATGTAACCCTAGGTTTTTTGTTTCTCCTATATATTGAGCCCTTGTACTTGTAATTCCAGGAGACACGACAAGTGAAATAGAATCCTCCTGTTGCAGCCGTGGATTAGGGAAACCGAACCACGTTAAATTCTTGTGTGTCGTCCGTGTTCTGTTTCTCTCGTTTCTCGCAGATATTTGTGTGTGTTGTGTGTTTTATTTCCCAACAAGTGGTATCAGAGCTAGATTGTTGAACAGGAACACAAATTGCGAGTTGTCACCTAGGGTTTTTGGGATCTGTGCGCAGTCACCGGAGGGCAGAGGGAGCATAAGGGAAGCCGCTGTGAATCGCCGCTGACCCAGTCGCCGTCGAGATCGCCGCTGGGTCTTGAACCGCAGCGAGGAAGATCGCTGACGTCGCTACTGCGTGTTGCCGCCGTCGAGCTCCCAGATCTCCGCCGTCGTTTGCGTATAGACCGCCGCACGCAGGAGCAGCGGCAGAAGGAGCCGCCGCCGCCGCGTGGAGGAGCTGCATCGCCATATCAGAGCTGCCTCCGTTTCAGATCGAGAGCGCCGGCGACCTAGTGGCAGAGCCGTCGCCGTCCAGTGGGTCGCCATCGCCGTCCGAGCCGCCGCCGCTGGCCGCGCGTAGAGGACCGTGGCGTTAGAATCGCGCAGCAGCGGGGAAGGTACTGCCGCCCTCCGTCCAGCCGTCAACCGCCGTCCGCGAGCAGGTGTCATCCGACCGCTCGCCGAGTAGCCACCATCGTCCAGATTGTCTGCCGTCCAGACTTTGTGCCGCCGCCATAGTGTTGCTGTTGCCGACTGTTGCCCTAGCGCACAGAACAAAACCCCGTTGAAAAAATCAGTGGGCCATTTAATTGGTCAGACATTTTTTTCTTGGGCTCAATTTTGGATTGATTTGGGCCGTATTATCTTGTGGGTGGACATTGGGCTGATTTGTTTTGGCTAATTTAATTGGTGTGGTGGGCTTGATTTTCTGACGAAATTACCAAGATCTGAAATTAGTTGTACCGGGTATCTCGTCTAGTCGTGTGATATGGAAGAAGACGGGAAGTTCCGAATTGAGAAGTTTGATGGTACAGATTTCAGTTGGTGGAAGATGCAAATTGAAGATTTGCTGGTTCAGAAAGATTTGGACGCGGTTTTGGGTGACAAGCCAGAAAAGATGTCAGATAGAGATTGGGCAGGTTTGGATCGGAAAGCAATGTCCGTGATCCGTCTCTCGTTGACCAAGAATGTTGCGTTCAACATTCTGAAGGAGAAGACAGCGAAGGGAATTATGGAAGCGCTGTCTAACATGTACGAGAAGCCATCTGCAGCTAACAAAGTTTTTCTGATTAGAGAGCTGGTGAACACAAAAATGAAAGAAGGCACTTCAGTTACCGAGCATATTAACAAGTTGAATTCGATCTTAGCCAGACTTTTGTCAGTGGGCATTAAGTTCGATGATGAAGTTCAAGCTTTACTACTGCTATCGTCTTTACCTGATAGTTGGTCCGGAACGGTTACAGCGGTTACCGGTTCAGTGGGACCTGATGGATTCACCTTTGATCTGATTCGAGATCTCGTTCTTGGCGAGGATGTCAGAAGAAAGAGTTCTGGGGAGTCATCTGGTGAATTGTTACATGTTGGTAGAGGTAGAAGAAATAGCAGAGGTAGTGGGAGCAAGAACAGACAAAGGAGTCAGTCGAAGACTCGTGACAGCTCAGGTGTAACGTGCTGGAAGTGCAAGGAGGTGGGGCATTTTAGGAATCAATGTCCGAATGATAAGAAAGTGAACATTGCTGAAGGCTCCGCGAGTGATGAAGAGGTCCTTCTTACTTGTTGTGCGGAGAGCAGTGTAGATTCCTGGGTCATGGATTCTGGTGCTTCATTTCATGCTACCCACAGCGGTGAAGCATTCCAGAATCTGGTTATTAGAGACTTTGGAAAGGTACGACTAGCAGACGACAGAGCTCTTGATGTGACGGGCATGGGTGACATAGTGTTGAAGACCCCAGTCGGTTTCTGGACTTTGAAGGATGTCAGAGTTGTTCCAGCTTTGAAGAAAAGTTTGATTTCTGTCAGGCAGTTGGACGAACAGGGACATGAGATGAAGTTCAGGGATGGGCAGTGGAAGGTCGTGAAGGGAAATCTTGTCATGGCCCGTGGAAAGAAGAGAGGTTCGCTGTACAGGGTCGAGTTACCATCTGAGGGAGTGATCGTCCCAGTTCAGAAAAGAAACAAAGTCCGGTTCACAGAGTCTCGTGGGTAGAATAAGGTTGTCTGTGCAAGAGAGAAACCTAGAGCCACTGGTCAGACTCAGGATGAATGAGCGAGGAAAGGTTCAAGGAGGCCAGTCAGAGGTATTTGTGGCAGTGGGAGCTCAAGAGGCGCTTCAGCCAAGTTGCCTAGAAGACAGTGGGTCAGGAGAACCAGTATTCCAGCTGTTGGAACATCTCCAGAAAATTTCTTGCTGAGTACGGAGAGTGTTTGTTCTCAGGATGTTTCAGGATCGGGCAGTGTGCGTCTGCAGTGGGAGCCGGTAGGGACCGAGGACGAGTCAGGGGCAGATTTTGCCGTGACTGATGTGTTGGAGCTTGGGAGAGCTTCAACGGGCCTTTCAGTTGTCTGATGATAGGGCCGCTGCAACAGGAGAGCTGAGGAAGATTACTCGAAGTACAGGCGACCGTGGCGGATGGCAGTTGATGTTTATCAAGCCTCCAAGTGGGAGAATGTTGGGTTTTGTGGAGGCTAGATATGTTTGGGCCCGACTTGGATCGGCCCATCTTATTTTTACGCCCGGCCCATGTTATGTAACCCTAGGTTTTTTGTTTCTCCTATATATTGAGCCCTTGTACTTGTAATTCCAGGAGACACGACAAGTGAAATAGAATCCTCCTGTTGCAGCCGTGGATTAGGGAAATCGAACCACGTTAAATTCTTGTGTGTCGTCCATGTTCTGTTTCTCTCGTTTCTCGCAGATATTTGTGTGTGTTGTGTGTTTTATTTCCCAACATTTATTCCATAAACTCCTCTCTCAACAATTTGTTCTTTATAACGCAAATTGTATGGTTTCTTCAGTTGGCAATGAATCCTTGTACCCTGTTGTATATTGGTCGTTTTTAAATCATTTAGTATTAATTGATTCATGCACTATTTTTTATTCATGACGAAAAGATTGAAAAGTTATTCCTTGTATGCATTTGAAATTGTAAATTCCAAGGTTTATGTATAAAATTATCAAATGACCTGATGTATAAGAGTAATAACCGCTTCTCAATTTCTTCATGTATACTATATTGTGATCTATAAAATATGCACAAAATCTTAATGAAAAACTATTGAAATCGAAGAAACATACTTGATCATCATGGAAAATAGCCTCCATTGATTCTCCAATCCTTCGAAAAGCACTAACTTTGTATACACAAACAACCCTAACATGAATAGCCATTGTGGTTCGATCCCGATCGATATCAACAAGTTTTATCCACAAACTTCTTGAAACTCCATTGGATGAAATTTTTTTTTGAAGAAGAGAGATAGTATGGAAGCTTTGATTTCTTTTTTATTTGGTTATTAATTACAGAAGATAGTGATTGTTGATTTATAAAGTTACACAATCTCCAATGGAGGATAATTAATAATACAAAACTCCATAAAGTTACCTTTCCGATTTGACAGGTACTTTTTTCTCTCTAGCCTAACACCCAACCCGAGCCCATGTAGTTTAGGCAGGAGAAATCACTGTTCATTTTTCCTCATTAGCTTTATATAGATAAAGATGGTAGCAGTTGATCGCATCATTATTGGATCCATTCATTTCAAACACAGAAGAGCCCAAAAAATTTGTACCCAATGATGGGTTTCAGAACCCAAGGGCTAGAAGAGTAGGTAGGAGAGTATCGAACAAGGGCTGAGTGCCACCTTTTGGTCGCAAGAGTGTAGAGTGAGTATATTAGACTAATAATACAAGTGGTGTAATTACAAATAGTATAACTATAAATGATGTACAGACGAACAATATCGGAGATGCTCTTGTGTGGGCCCATAGAGTAGAACGAGCGTACAAGATCCCATGCCTGTTATAGGGCTTTCTTGCTTCTCTGGCAGTAGGGGTCGAGTACACAATTCTATCGCTGGATGACATCCGAGTAAAGATTTGTTCGGGTCTACCCCTAGGTCGGAGTGCATGCAGCCGAGCTGAGTATAGACCCGTATCCAAGTGCTGTTGTTGTCTTGAGGGGTTGCTTTCCTTTAAGTCCTGCTCAGCTGAGTAAGGCATTTTTGGACGAACGCGTCCGACTCTTGTGATTGGATGGGCCTTGTGTTTGGCTGTTATTGTTTTTGTTAGACTGGATACCCCCCAGTCCAGGTTATCCATAAGATATCATCTTGGGTAAAACAATCAAGAACTAGAATAGACAACAACTTCAATATATGGCATCGCCAATGCTTTTATGCATCCATAAAAAATTACATCATTTGGGGAAACTGTATTCGGGATAGAAAGACTTCGTCAGCGGTTGTCCCCATAAACACCCTATGTAAGAATAACATCAACAACGGTAATAAGAACAACATCGGTAACACTTACCATATCAACAACAACTTCCTCTTCAAATTCCCGGTCCTGGAAATTTGTGTTTTGCACAGTTACCATAGAGGCTAGGTTCAGTGGAGCGCGGATGAGGTTTCCTATAGCGTTCATCATGTTTGTTCTCAACACGTTAAACTTTAAAGGAATCAGACTCGGCATAATTAGAAACTACGAACAAAATCCTGGATAGAGCAAGTTATTTTTACGTCGAATGCATATAAGCCCAAATCATAAGAGAATTGACCTTCAATATGACTAAGCGACTGTAGTTTCTTTTTAATATCATCAACGAAATCTTCAATATGACTAAGTGACTGTAGTTTCATTAAATTTAATTTTCTCATAAAGAACATTCTCTAATAAACCAAGAACATTGTCGATTGCACAATTCATGATCATAAGCACCAAGAAGTTTGCTAGTATGATAAATATAGCACATATACTAGGGGTGAAAAGAATGAACAATTATGAATCTCTCTAATGCTCCCAAAAATTGCCGGGCGTCAACAACACTTAATCCATTATCAATCAATCGATAAAGAAATAATCACTCTTAACCCTAAACTCTCTCTCCTCTCTCATATCGACCAACATTCTTTTCTTCCCTCTCATTTTCTTTGTTTCTTCTTCTTTTCACTCTTCAATCTCTCTTTAATCTCCTCTTCTCAAATCTCACAGCTGCTTGAAGGTGCTCGAAACCCTTCCCTATCCTGATATGATATCATATCAAGATATACCGATCCAAATATACAAGCGAAGCTTGCACATGTGGAGTACAAGGATCTGAGTGTTCGTAGAACGCTTTTTGTAGAATGTAGGTTAGAAGAACACTCTAATCGAAACTCCTTCAAGGTTGGACTCTTCACAACACAAGTTAGTCAGGGTGACATATCACATGTTCAAAGAACATGATGACGAACATAATGTTACAGCTTTATATTCAATCAAAACGGCTAGACACAAATATATCTAACACCTATTTGTTTGTAAAAAAAATGTCAATATGAGTTTACAACTTCTGAACTAAATAGGGAGTATGACATAAGGAAAACAACAGATGGAAGGCACGGTACCCCTAACATTACTCATCAATTTATTTAGGTTCACTTCTTTCTTTGTTTTTGGTGTGGGAGTTGTTGGAATCCCAACAACCACCTAATATAGTGGGATTGATTATTGGTGTGTGGTTTTACAACAAATGCTAACCGTGCAATTGACATTCAAGTATGAGTATATAATTATTTTGAGTAAATATAGCACAAAGATTCTGTTAATTGACGTTAAACCAAACAAGAAACTCCAAATGCATCTTAAGTGTTAATTACAAGTTGCACAATGCCAACTTTCTTAAGCAGAAGGGAGCTGACATAAGATGATGAGGCTGCTGATTTTCAAGATTACTATACACAAAAGACAAATCACAAATCCCCTTAAGCAAAATAAGAAAAATCCAAGAGCTTGAGGTTAATCACTTAATTAGCATCTTCAAGCTAATTAGATCCATATTCCACACATCCCAGCTAGCTAAGGACTTGTTCTACGCCGCTCTAATCTCACCGCGAGATTCATGCGCGTGGGGCGCGTGTAGAAGCTGCTCCGCCTCCCAGCTCAACTTCGAAGCCACGCCTATGTGGCGTGGGACATACTCCTGTACGTCCTCATAAACCCAAACAAAAACATTTAATTTATGAGGTATATTTTGTTATTAATTAATTTCCAATTTTGCTCTTAAATATAATGTTAAAAAGTAAGATATGATGAGAAGATTAATACTCGTATGCCAAAATATAATTATGCTATTGTCGCTTCAACTTTAATTTGACACTAAAATTTGACATCACGTTTTACCTCGAGTTTCATTACGAGCTCCTTGGCAGTAGGAGCGGATACAATGATGTGACGGGCGCTCGGGCATATGAACCCTTCCTCCACGGCTTTGTCGATGAACGACAACAATGAATTATAGTACCCCTCAACATTCAGTAGTCCCACCTGCAGCCAATGTGTGCAAATATAATCGTTTTTTGAGTACTTTTATTTTTAAGGACCGGCCATAGAATAGTTTATGGATGGTATTAGGAATATTAGATAATAGGAAATAGTATTTTATTTAATTAAGCTAATTAAGAAGGCGTCGTACCGGTTTCTCATGAATGCCGAGTTGAGACCATGTTATAACTTCAAGTAGCTCCTCCAATGTTCCATAACCCCCTGTGTTATTATATATAAAGTTGTCACCACTTTTTATGCAAGTGATTAATTTTATTCAAAACTCTACTTGTTGTTCTTGTCTCCCCCGGAATGATTAAATTTCACATTTATGCGTGTGATTTTCGCATTCCGAAGTCCCCTTCCCGAGAGTAGAACTTCTTTTAAACAAACAAAAATAGAAATGTGGTATTCTTTTGTGTGAGGTGAATCGAGTACTAAATTGAGAAATCTTTGTAAATAAGACTAAATATGTGAAACGTAACAAAATAAGGTATATCTTATTTTTTTGTCCTCTAAATAGGAATATTGGCACCGTGAAACTGCATAATTTCGCATTTTGTGTGTTGCCTTTTCAATTGTTTGTTGTTTATTATTCTCTCCATCCCCCACGACATTTCCCGTTTGAAAAATTAAAAGACGGACTTTACAAATATGTAATTTTAGTACTCCCTTCGTTTCATAAAAAGCTTCATGTTTTGAATTTTAAGATAAATAAGGAGAATATATTTTTGTTTGACTTTCCAATTTTGTCCATGATGTGATGAATAAAAGTAAGATGTAATAGATAGACTATTAGAGAAAAAGTATAATGTGATAGGTAGGGCAATAAAAAGTAGGGGTAAAACTAATTTTTTAATAGAAAGTGGAAGTGTTTTATTGGAAGTGAAAAAATGAAAGAGGAACTGTTTTTGAGAACAGATCGAAGGAGTAACATTTTTGGGAAGATTTTAAAAATGTGTAAATTTAGTTTAATTTTTTAATTTTGCCTTAATATGATAAGAAATGATGTGTGAGATTGAAAATTAAAAATTCAAAAATAATACTCCTTCCGTTTTTAAAACGCTTCCTCTTTTATTATTTTTTTGTAAAACTCTTCAACTTTATATTAAAACACCACTTTTACCCATACTTTTTATTACCCTACCTATCACATCATACTATTTTTACTAATAATCTATCTATCACATCTTACTGTTATTCATTATATCAAGGGTAAAATTGAAAGTCAACTATAATTTTACATTTGGTCAAATTAGGAATTTTTTTAAGGACGGATGGAGTATGTGACACAAAGAGGGTGTGTTTAGGGGTGGGCAATCGGGTCCAAGAACCGGGAGTCGGAATCGGACCGCTAGGTTCAGTCCGGGTTAGGGTCGGGTCCTCTTTTCAAAAATTTCAAACGGTCCGGGTTGGTCCGGTCCTTATAGATTTTAGGGTCGGTCTGGTTCCCAATTTTGAAATTGTATTAGACCCGGACCAGACCGTTTTTTGAAATCCTAATATTATTTTTAATATTATTTCTAGTAAATATATGGATATACGGAAATATACCCGCCTAAGCCCTTCAATCTTTTGGCCCTTCCAATCGCAGGCAGAAAAGTGAGAAAACCTTTCGTAGTCAGAGAGTCAGAACCCATGAAGATTGTGAATTTTATTCTTTTGGAACCCATTGACATTCTATTGCCAAAATGTGGTTGTCTTCTTTTTTTTTGTTGTTGTTGGATGATCATGAGGTGTACACTTTACTCTCATGCCCTCTTTGTCATTGTTTTATTTTCATTTACGCCTCTTTTTTGTGTTGGATGACTTAAATTAATTTATTATCCCTTTATTTTTTTAATATTAGTATCATGATAGGTTCGGACCCGTTGACCCGTAGAACCGGCCCGTTTCAAACAAGCCGGGTTAGGTCCGGTTTCAATTTTAAAATTTTGAAAACCCATTCCGACCCAGACCGTTTTAATAAAAACAAGCCGAGTCCAGTTTATACAAATCTTGGCTCGGACCGGCCCGTGCCACCCCTAGGTGTGTTAGCATTATTTGACAGTGTAAATCATATTTTGTTATAAAAACATTGCAAATTTTATTAAGAATTTAAAGTTAGTCTTGATGAGGTTTTTCAACCTACTACAAATCAGAATGATTCCTCTAGGTACTTTTTCTCTACAAACTTGTAAAAGTTTTTGCAGCACATTCCTTTTATCTTTCACTTTGGGAAAGTTTAGTTGAGTTGATTTCAGATGGCTGTGAACCCAATAAAAAAAGGGTTAGTTGACTTAGTTCTGATTCTATGTTCTAACTGCAAGATTTGGATCAGTCAACAGATAGAGTTGGAATTGTAACTCTATGCTTCTTCTATCTAGATAAGAATGGAATATTCTAAAGAAAAAAATATAGATTAAGCTTTTTGCAAGACCAAAATTTGTATCTCATTTTGTACCCGACATTTTATGCTAGTGTGATGTTAGTGTGATAAATTACATTGATAAAAAAAGTTAGTGTAAATTTTTTTTAATTGAACTAATATTTTCTGCCAGTGTAAATCGTTAAAATATCGGTGCATTTTTTTGGGGTACAACTTGGGGTACACTTTTGTTGTACCCCTAGCAGGGTTGAAAAAATATATACACCCTCGCTTTTGAGACGCTTTAAAACTTAAAATACTCTCCCGTTCCATTTGATACACAAAATTAAAGCCATAAGATTAGAATTTGGGACTTTAATTTCAATTTTAGCGTTTGGTAGCACAAAAATATGTAGATTTGGAATTGTTAATGCAGAAAATGAATTAAAATTGGAGAATTCAATTCCATAAAGTATAAATTTTAATTCAATTCCAGTTCCGCCGGTTCCGTGTACCAAATGAACCCTCCGTGTCATAAAAAAGTTACACCAATTTTATTTTTCTTAAACTTTGTACAAAGTCTAACTACACATTTTTTTATTTTTCAATATATTTCTTAAATTTCGTAAAGTGAACTAGTCAAGTTTTTTATTGGACAAAGAAGTCTTGAGTATGTCCAAACAAAATAAAGCACCAGTAACAGAAAAGAACCAAAAGGATGACACTAAAAAACCTTTTCCAGAGCTTCTTTGCAGAACTGTAATGAGCACATATAATTTCATCCACACACAGAGACAGAGAAGGGACACGCTTTAATTAAATGGATAAGGGTGAACTAAATAAAAGATCACAGCAGCTGGGGACATGAAATCCTTTGGAATTTTTGACTTATAAGGAGACAATTTCGGACATAAATTCGGTGCGGTCCACAAAATTATTTCTCCAAAATAATTATAGACAATTAATCTCCTAAGTGAGACGGGTGTTTCGATATATTATCGCCAAAAAATAGTGCTTGATTGAATGAGAAATTAATTCACAAAGTCGAATACTTGAGAAGAGTAAAACTCACGATATTTTAAGAAAAATGCTTGAAAAAACAAAAAGTGAGTGATTTAAACTTGCATAGAAGAAAGTGTAACAATCTTTTTAGGACTCAAGAAAAATTAGACAATTAATTTAGGAGAGGAAGAATACTTTTATACTGATTATAAATAAAAAATTTTAAAAATTTGACCATATAAGTTAAAGTGACATGGCTATTGGATGGGAAGGGAGGAATATATGGTACCAACCTGGTAAGGCAATGAAAGCATCAGAGTGTCTTCCCATCTCTGCTTTCCTTTGATGCATATTAGCAACAGCTTTCACTTCCCCCACTGTTTCACCAGTTAACTGTGAAAGATTTACCCACATTAAAAAAAGTCAAGGTAAGAGTTGACCCTGCTGTAGTGTGGTTGAATAATAAAAGTGTTGCCCACAGGTATAGTTTGGATGGTTCTAAGACAGAATGTTAAATTAAACTTCAAGGTATCAAGATCGAATCCCGATAGCTCTAATGTGAGAATTTTATCTGATCTGAAAAACTTTCTCTACATATACTGGGCACAATACGACATCTCTAAAGACTAAACTAATTATATATATCCTTCTACTACTCTATCGAACTGGAGTGTGGGGCCCTCGGGGTGGGCGTTTCACCCGTGAATAAGAAAGAATTTTCGTTACCCAACAATTTCAACTATGCTAGGTCTACACCAAGTTGTAAGATAAGCAATTGCAATAACACTTTGAGGGCTCACACTAGCACAAAATGTCTATGTAAAATTTTGTGACAATATTAACATTTTGTGTCAGTTTGGATCACCAAAGAACTCATGCAACTTCTTGATGTACAACTTAGTATACACCAAGTGAGATGCATGTGTCATTATTGACAAAAAAAGATGACTTTTTTTTAAACTAGTAGGTGCATGGGGTGGAATAGTATGCCAATGATGAGGATTGCAGTATGTAGTATGCAGTGTGAGTAGTGTTATGAACCTAATCTTTAAAATCCTTTAAAAAAAAACATGAGCTGCACAGCTAGTGGAATATGGTACATCTTGGAAACATGCATTTGACACACATAGAGAGTATCCATTTAAAAAAAGGAACAAACCTTCCAAGTACCTAAAAAAAGTCCCTATTATAATAATACTCCATATTTTAGATAGATTAAGAATCAAATGAATATAGACGTACGAGATACGGAGTATTTCTTTACATTCATTCAAAACTCTAATTTATATCAATACATTCGAACCATCATCACTTGTGGGTTGGATATTTTTTTCACCGACAAGTCATGTGGGTGACGAAAAAACAACTGGGAGACCTTGAGAATTGGATTTCAATTTTTTTTTTTGGAGAAAGTAAAATTTGAACTAATTTGGATTTTTTTTTGGCAATTTGGCAACGTGGGGCAACTTGAATTTTTTTTTTCCCCAAAAATAATAATTATGTGATAGAAATTAAATGTATTTATTTAAGTGCAAGTTGACCAACAACTTTCAAGAACAGAATGGGCATATATACCTCCCGGGGCATGAGAGTCTTGGGGATTACTCTGAATGGGAAACAATAACAAGACAGAAAGTGATTAGTTTCAGTACACAATGTTAACAAGGGAAATGACAAAACCAACAAGAAACTGATGTTATGTTAACGAAAATAAATAAAGAAAGAAAACTGTTTGATCTTAATAAATAAACAAGGATTAAAAAGGATTTTAAAAAAAATGTATTTCCAACTCTTTCCAGGAAGTTACCAGATGGGGTAGGAACCGTCAATTTTGTGAACGAGGCACCGGAGCGCCCCGGGCCATCCTATGATATTGCCGGACAATGTCGTGGGAACCGCGCCGTAGTACAGAATAAAGAGTAAAAAAAGAAAAGAATGGCATCTTAATTAATTACCCGATAACATGTCTGCCACCATCATGAACAGCTTGTGAGACCAGACCCATCAGCCCTATGCTTCCACCTCCATAAACCAAATCAATGTTCCTTGAAACCTTTCACACAACAACTCTACACATTAATCATTATTCACAAAAAAAAAAGTCAACCTAAAAATTGTTGAAACACAAACTAAGTTTAGGATGGTCATCAACCCAAAAAGAGTTTTTATATTCTGAACCATTCACACTTTTGTAGTTTTGTCTTCTTTTTTATCTTCATCATTGGAAAAGGTCCAAAGGGTAAAAATGGGCTCTTTATTTAACTCACAATTAGCACATAAAAGTTACACTTTACAGGTAAGTACCACCTAACTCCAAGGATGATACATTTGCACCTTTTCCTTTTGGGGTTTATAGAGAAATAAAAAAACCGACAAAGTGTCCGGTAAAATTAATAACTTACATATAAAGTCGGGATCAATTTTTAACCCAAAAGCTTAATATAATAGATTAATAGGTAGAACTTTACCCTTTCCTATATATATAAATCCTGTTCTTATTTTATTATCCGATGTGGAAAGTAACTTGAACAATAACCCCATCTTTTGGTCTAAATGAAACTAGTATCTCAACTTGGTCAATAAGGAATATAATTTTGTAAATGGGTTTGGCGAGGACTAGAATATAAATGTCCCACACTGTCTTTTATTCTAGAAGTCGAACTTGGCTACAATATCTTTTTTTTATCAATGTCTCCTCTATCCCAAATTCGATTTCACAATTCTAAGAACGTGCAAAATTCCATTGTTTTAAAATCTATTTTATTTAGAAATAAAAAAATGAAACTTACCAATTTAAAAACTACACAAAAAATTTTACTCCGTATAAAATAAGTGATGAACTTGTTTTTATTTCATCAAATAGTCAATAAAAAGTGAGAGAGAGCGGACTTTGTGGATATGAAGAGTTTGGTAGATAACAATACCAATTCCTTTCCAAGGTCAACAGCAGCATCTTGATAGCTAGTCTTCTTCCCTTGGCTACTCCCACAGAAAACACAAATTCTTTTGAATTTTGACGCCCCATTTTCCATATTAAAGAGGCAGAGCGGAGGAGTGTACACTTATGTAGAGAGAGAGAGAGAAATAGAGTTTGTGGATATGAAGAGAGAAGAGAGAGGTGCAACGACCTTTTGGTACTCCCACAAACCGGAAGACATACATGGTTGTGTTTATATAGTGCTCAAGGCACGTGATGACGAGCATTTACCACACTTGGGTTCATGCATTTTGATTTGGTGGTTCATGACATGGCCTCCATTTCATGCACACATTAGACCCCATCATTTGTCTACATACCTGGCCCGCTCTCAAAATAACGGGCTTGTGCTTGAGATTTTAAGATACAGACCAGGTTGGGGTTTATAAACAGGGGCATGCGTAGTTTAGGGTCGGACTTAAATTTTGTACTAAAACTCAAAGATCGACTTGGCCCGAATGAATAATAAAAAACTATAATTATAATAAAGCTAGTTTTTTTCTCGTGCTTCGTACGGGCTCGTATACTATCGCGTAAAATATATTATACAAATTAAACATCTTATAACACTACTGCAAAAAGGACCTTTTAAATCGGTTATTTTTACCCTTTTAAATCGATGTAAAAGCCAGCGATGCAAATGTTCAGGTTACTTTTTGCATCGGTTGTTTAACCGATGCAAAAGTCTCTTCCCAGAAATGGAGCCAATTTTGAGAAGAGGTTTTTGCATCGGTTATTTGGTAATAACCGATGCAAAAGCTTAGACATTTGCATCGGTTATTACCAAACAACCGATGCAAAAGCCTCTTCCCAGAATTGGGGCCATTTCTGGGAAGAGACTTTTGCCTCGGTTATTTGATAATAACCAATGCAAAAGTCTGTTTTCCATTTCTGGGAAAAGGCTTTTGCATTGGTTATTAGATAATAACCGATGCAAATGCCTTTTCTCAGAAATTGAAAAGGGGTTTTTGCATTGGTTATTAACAAATAACCGATGCCAAAAATAAATTTTTCCAAAAGGATTTTTTTATTTGCTCCCAATCCACTACATTTTCAATTTTACACAGAATTCTGTGCAAAATATACAGATTCAACAACAACAATTCAACATCAAAACAACAACTAACACAACCCAACAACAAACACAAATACATTCACAAAACCCAAACGCCACAAAACAAATTAAACCAAAAAAGTAAACATTTGCATCCATCACTTGTACATCTTAAAAAATATCAAGAGTCAAACAACTACACTCTTCTAAGTTTTAACACCACAACTAAGAGTCACACAACTACACTCTTCTAACATACATTTAATACTATACAATACAACACAAACTTACACTAGTTCATCGAGAAAACCCACCGCCCAAAACTCTCTAAGATAACCTCTTCTAATTCGGCTCTAGTATAAGGCGAAGTAGACTGAAACACCTGCAATACAAAAACAACATGCAACATAAAGTTTAATAATTTATGAAAAAGAAAATGATGATAAACACTTCATTACTTTCAAAAACACACTAAAATAAACTTACATCGTATAACGGTAAAGAACATTGTGCACACATAGTGACAATGAGCCATAAAAATCGCATGGTATAATAACCACACTCAACGCCTCCTACTTGTTGGGGTACTCCGGGAACATCAACCCAATCCGGTCGAGCCTTAAGCTGAGGCATGTATTGTATAAAAATTGAAACTAAAAATTAATATATATGAGTTGTGCAAAATGAATAAAAATATATTGTATTTTAATTTCTAGGAAAAAGTAGTGGAATAAAATATTAGAGAGCTCATTTATATATGAGTTCTTTTTATCTTTTATAATTAAGTTTTAAGTGATTTCATAATATATATGATTATTTAATAATGTTTTTATATGATGACGATATATATTACATATGTGATTATTATTATTGTTGTTGTTGCTATTATAAGCATCATAGCGATGGTGCTAAGTGCGGAGAGGGTTATGACATGCAAATTGGAGGAGAGGGGAAGATCAAGAGTTTATCTTTTCTGTTGCTCATCCTTACACGTTCAAATTCTACAATTTCATATTTTAAATATTTTTGACGACATTCAACATTTTAGTACAATATTTTGACCTAATTTGTTAGTTAAGAGTCTAATTTTAATTCACTTGGCTAATATAATTAATATTCATCAAGTAATAGACATAATCATGGTCAAACCAAGCTCTGTTTTCTTCCCTTTCATTTTTTCTTATAAACACTGTAATCAGCAAACAACTAAGTTTATATTATATGTTTCATTAATTTAGTCAATAGTCACACTTAATTTTAATGCGCATGTGTGGCATCACACGTGTTGTATGGAACACATATGACGTTTTCCTTAAGAAAAATGAACTCTTAAAAATTTTTTCATAAAAAAATAAAATAACATAAATAATATACGGAGTAGTTTATTTAAAAAATCTATGATTAAATTAAAATGGAAATACATATTTAAAAAAATGAAGGTGCACATGTATATAAACTTAATAAAATAAATGGTGTATATGTTCAAAAGTTTAAAAGTAATTTTATTTTTAAAAATTATAAAATATTTAATTTATAACATTTTTAAATAATAAATTAATGCTTTGTATTAAACACATGTGTTATAATGATGAAAATATAATAAAAAATAATTATAATTATTATTTTAGTTAGAAATTAGTAATATTTTATAAAAAAAAATAAAATGAAAATGACGATTATATAGTATCAAGTTTAATATTCATGTAAAATACAAAAATATAGCAAGTGAAAGGTTTATAAACAAATTGATCACTTATTTTTTATTTTATGTGCGTGGGTAGCATTGCATATGACACATGGAATAAAGGTGTCATTTTACTAATTTTTTTATTAAAAAAATTAACACTTTATTTTATAAAATAATTATATGAAAACATAAATAGTTTTTCAAAAATATAAAATCTACATAAGATTTGAAAGAAACAAATTAATTTAAACCACACTACATACATTGGCGTATCGAAATTCGAAACACATATATAATAAAGCATGATGAAAAGTTCTAAAATAAATTATATAGTTATTAAAGATGCATATGTGATAAAGTTTATATTAAAGTTTGAATCAAACAATGTAGTTAATAAAGATGCGTAGGGAAAAATGTATGTAATTGATTTTAGAAGTACTCTGTAATAGAAAAAATAAACGGTACCGTGCATATATAGCTTTAAAATTTATATACAATGTTTTTTTCAATTAATAAAGTTTATATTATTTTTAAAATTAACTCCATGCTTATGCATATTTAAAAATATGTTGTCATAATGAAATGGATATTTTTTAAATAGTTTGAAAGTGAAGGACATTATAAAAGTTTAATTAAATAATTTTTATTTAATACTAAAAAGTGAAGGATATAGAAAAATTGTTTTGGGAGATTTTATAAAATTTAATTATTGCGTGTATATTTGTTTTTTATATTTATTTAAAACTCTATAAATAAAAGTTTTAAGTATTATATAATTATGTGACTTTTCAATTTTCTTCACTCTCTTAATTAATTGCCTCATATATTATATAATTGTTAGAATATAAATAACCTTTCCTGGGCCATAACCATAAGCTTGAGCTTTTGGTTGAGTTGGTTCATTGACATGCAAGGCTAAAAAAGGTCACGCCTGCACGTGAGGGGGCGTGTTAGAGTATATAACAATCATTCTTGGGCTACAACCACAAGTTTGAGCTTTCGGTTGAATTGGTTCATTGACATGGTATCAGAGCCTTGATGACCAAGAGGTCACGAGTTCGAAACTCGCCGCCACCCTGTTCAAAATTTATGGTTTCACGTGCAAGGCTAAAAAAAGAATACGCCTGCACGTGAGGGGCGTGTTAGAATATAAATAACCTTTCCTGGGCCATAACCATAAGCTTGAGCTTTTGGTTGAGTTGGTTCTTTGACAATAATAATTAAGTGACAAAAAATTGATTAAAATAAAATTAAGTGGCATGATGTAGCAGCACATTTGGCAATAAAAATGATGACGTGGCATGACACATGTCGCAATGGCAATTAATACGTACGCTCAACTTTATTAATACTATAGTTTTCTACCCCGTGCTACGTACGCGCTTGTTATTAGGGCTCGTTGTCATAATGATATTGAGGCGATGGTTGGAAATGGAGGGTTTGGTTTATGATTTGATTTTCTCCCGTGCTACGCTTGGGTATGTGTTAAAAGATTGTGTATGCTTTGGTTTTGTAGGATTTTGAAATACTACATTGTATCCTTTTGTTTTGTGAAATGTGAAGAGTGATATATTATTGTATTTTGAGGTTTTTTAATTTGATGTTGGTTGAAGAGATTCATTTTGTTGTAATAATTTTAGATGTTCGTTTCGGTGTTGTACCGGTTGATGTTCGTTTTGGCGTTTTGATGTTTGTTGGGGTAAGATGACGGGTGGGGGTCTGTACCGGTTACCATTGAAGCGATTATTGCGAAGGACGAATATCAATGCTTGGTGTCTGTATACGTTGGTGTTTAATGTTTAAGGTCTGTACATGTTGGCATTAAATGTCTTGTCACGTATGACACGTGTCAACACTACAACTATTAAACTCTTTTTTACAAATATACTAGTATTTTAATTTGACCCATGCCATGCACGCGGAGAAACAAATTTTTTATTCTGAATTTTTCATTTTTCTTCGCTACAACATTTTTAAAAAATCAAAAAAATAAAACATCAACCTCAAAAGTTAAAATATGATAAAATATACTCTGGCCCACAAAATGTTTCTCCTTTTAACTTTGAAAGGATTTAAAGGGAATATATCTTGGTGTTGAGTAAATTAATAGTTAAAAAGTGTGATGTAATAGACATGTTAAGAATTAGTTGGGCTAAAAGTGATTTTTTAATAGAAATGAGAAAGGTCTTTTGCAACGGATGAAAAAAGAAAGGAGAAATGTTTTGTGGGTGGAGGATTTGCTAATGAAAATTATACTGTATATATATTTGAAATTTAGCATGTCAAGCTCTTATTTAAATTAGAACATTTTTAAAAAATTAGGTATATACTCCCTCAGTTAATGAGTATTTGTCCACTTTTGACTTTTTTTGACCAAAATTGGTAAACGTTAACTTCAAATTAAATAAAAATGATATTAAATATTGATAC